AAGAGGAAAAAAGGAGACAAAAAAGTCAGAACAATGATGCAGGCACTTTTTATGCATTTTTCCAAGTGACAGTTCAATCATTTCTTATTGCACTCTCAAACATTCATTAGTAAGGGCGTGGATGGGGGGGGTGGGGAGAAATAAAAAAATTAAAAAAAAAAAAAAATCTTAGTGTTACCGAAAGCCTCGGCAGTGAGGAGGCAGTGCAGCAGCCCTGACCCAACATGAGCCCTGTGGCTCACCCCATTTCACACAGACAAAAATGCACTAGGATGTGAAATGGTGCCTTCCCCCATGGTTAGGCAGCATCTCCTGAGGAATGTTTTACCTGTTTAGCATGTTCCCATGCTAAATCTGAGAGGCCAGATTCTCATGCTCCCTCAGGAGGTGACAAAATCTTTCATTTTTCTCTTATGTTAAAGCAAAATTTTGGTTTTTAAACAAAATAATATTCCTCATCAAGATTTCCTGAGACATCATTTCTGAGGTGTGTAAAACATAACAGCTCTTTCAACTGGTATCTTTTTTATTTTTAACACCAAAGAAGGCAATAACATCTAATAGAGCTTTTTCTCTGGATATCGGATCTAAGATATCAACAGGAGAGCTTAAGAAGTACCCATTAAAGACCTGTTCCTTCAACTGCATGAAAGAAAAGCATAACGAAATATCTCCCAATGAAGGGGATACATCCACACATAGAGAGCCTAGTGAACTGAGGACTTAGCCCTTCTTTAACTCCATTACACAGCTCTGAAAACTGTACATCTACTTTAAATCTTCTATATGTCATGAGGAGAGCAGCAGTGAAAGTATTTCAGCAGCAAAAAATGCACAGATGCTCTAGAAGTACAAATAGCAAATACTGGGACCATTCTTACACAGGTATATATTTGAATAGTACTTGAGTAGCATCTTTTTGTGCTGCCTAACTTGTGAAGGAGCGCTGAAGAGATGGCTAAGTAGAACAAGTATCACTATCTCACATCCCTTAGAAGGATGGTCTCTCAACTCCTAGCAGCAAGAATCAGCCCTTTAAGGACAAAACCTCCCTACCTTGGAAGAGGCTCACACTTCAACTATTGCCCAGATAAGCTGAGTTAGTTACTCAGCAAGAAGAGATAGTTGCATTCTGCTGTTTTCAATGGAAACCTGGAGGTAGCCTCACCCTACTGTAATACTCAGCCACCAGGGAATGGTCAGGCACCATGATCAGCAGCAGGTCCATCTTGGAGCCATCTGGAACTGGCTCTGTCTGACATGGGGGCAGCTCCTGATCTCTTGTCACAGAAGCCACCACTGCAGACTGCCCTCCCACTATCAAAACCTAGACACATAAACCCTATACACAGTCTACCAGTCTATCCAAGATAGATAGTCTGCTTTCTGGATAAGAATTATGATCCGAGGAACTTACGCATCTCTTGGCCCTTCCTGAGAGAGATCAAAGACCTGGCGTGGATTCAAATACCACATAAACATTTGGAGAACCTTGGTGCCCTAGGAAAAGAGAAAAATCAAATGAAGGAAAATTATGAATAGCTTAATTATTATTAGAAATAATAGTGTTCATAATTCGCTATATTTGGACTGCTTTTCTTTCTTCTGTGCTTTATAAAGCAAACATAAACCAACAAAAAGACAAACTAGAAAGTGGCATTGCAGATTACTACTCTATAGAATAGCAGCCCACCAATCTGGGGAGGGTGTCCTTAACACCACAGATCATTAACGGTTCATAAGAACAGGCATTCAGGGTCAGACCAAAGGTTCAGTTCCCACAGCAACCTGTTCTCCTACCTCTCACCACCTACAGCAAGAAACCTCTGTTACCTCACATCACCCTCAGCCATCCATGCCAGCAAGAAGCTGAACAAGTTTGTGGGCAAAGTCACCATCACATCGAACAGTGGCTTGCCCAACATCCAAGGAATGACTCTGCTTTGACCTTCACCATCACCACCACGAATACTCATAGGTGTGACCCTCTACCACCCAAAGAAGCAGGAACCAAGGACTCTATGGGCTACCTCTGCCCCACTCAGTGCCTTGTATCCAGCTCATCACCTAAAGATATAAATTCCACATTCTCAAACTCTTGGACTCATATTCCAGGCACTTGATTCCCTTCCTTCATATTCTGCTCAGACACAAAGTGGCAGGATCTCTTACTATCAGAAGAGGGATAAGAACCCCATAGGGAGAGCTTGTACTCCAAAGTAATTCAAGAATACATTTCTGACATAGCCTGGGGGGTGCAAGTCAGGAATTTTCAATAGTGCATCATGTGTGGTTGTGGTCACAGAACAGTTAAAGTTGAGTCATGCCCCTTCTGCAGCAATTTCTGTATGTCATGCGAAACAGGCTGCTGTTCTTCCAGTTCATCTTAAACTTCTTGCTGAGGTGTTGGTTACATTTCTTCCCCTACCTGTGTATTCACAGGCTTCCCATTCCAGGCCTCACCAAGTTGCAGGATTTCCTTCTGACCTTGGCCAAGCTAACTGCTCTCTGCACAAGGAGCAACTTGGTGGGGAAAAATCCCGAGAGAATCTACACTCCCTTCACCCTGGGATGTCTTGTGGTAGAGTATCTCTGGGCAGTGCCCACTAGCTCCTTTGACATTTTCAGTCATCAGCAGACATTACTGGAGGTGCTCAGCTCTGCATGCCACCATTTGTTCATGGTTTTTAACTTTACTAATCTTTGATCTTCCCTTCTTCATTCATTGCTGCTATAACGATTGCTCCTCCCCTGTTTCTTTTTCATTAGCTCCCCCTTCTGAGGAATTGCTCTTCTGTTTGACACCCTCCCCTAAGCGGAGAACCAAGAATAGCAGTCAAAGTACCTCAGAAATGGTATAAGAACAGAGAAAATAAACATGGTGTTTGCTGTAGGTAAACATCAAGGTTTTCTCTTCCAAATCTCTCCTTCAGCCCATTAAAATTTTAGCACCCACAACATCCAATGGCAAGGAGTTTTGCAGAGGAGCTACACATTGTGAGAGGGACTAACAGAATCACAGAATCACCAGATTGGAAGGGACCTTTAAGATCATCAAGTCCAACCATCAACCCAACACCACCAGTCCCATAAACCCTGTCCCGAAGTGCCACATTCACATGTTTTTTGAACACTTCCAGGGATGGTGACTCCACCACCTCCCTGGGCAGCCTGTGCCAATGCTTGACCACCCTCTCCGTGAAGAAATTTTTCCTAATATCCAATCTAAACTCCCCCTGGTGCAACTTGAGGCCGTTTCCTCTCATCCTATCACTTGTTACCTGGGAGAAGAGACCAACACCCTCGTCGCCACAACCCCCTTTCAGGTAGTTGTAGAGAGCGATAAGGTCTCCCCTCAGCCTCCTCTTCTCCAGACTGAACAACCCCAGTTCCCTCAGCCGCTCCTCATAAGACTTGTGCTCTCACCAGCTTCGTTGCCCTTCTTTGGACATGTTTGAGCACCTCAGCATCCTTCTTGTAGTGAGGGGCCCAAAACTGAACACAGTCTTCGAGGTAACTTTTTCCTTTGCTTTGAATCTGAGTCTTAACAGTTTCATTTGATACCCTCCCTAATTCTTCTAACAGAGGAGAAAGTGAGCAGCAACGATGCTATTATCCATGCTCTATAGGACCCTGTTATATCCTACATCAATCTTTTCAGCTAGAAGGCCCTGTCTATCAAAAGGCACTCAGATTAGTTGATACTCAAAAAGTGACAGACCTAATCTGGAAAATATTCACTTGGATAAGTTTTAATTCCAAGAATCCTACCACATGATCATGTTAGTCACTGATATTTGGTTTACTATAATACAGTACAAGACCAGTAATGATTTTTTTAAATGCCATTAGGAGTGTGTTATTTCACATTTGCTAATTTCACCAGGCTTTCCTAGTACAATTAAATCACTTTTTGGATAAAAGAAAAGTCTAAGGCTTCGTTGCCAATCTAAATTTTCTGTGGCAAGATGAAGTATTCTGAAAACCTACGAACTACCACTTGAAATTCCTTTCAGGAATCTGAAGATAGGAATATAACTGCTCAAATACCCAATTATCCATTCCAATCCCCATCCAACTCCATTGAAGTGGAAAAGGCATTCAACAGCAAGGACCTTCCTCTAAGGACTGCAATTCAGTTGCATAGAGTTCTTCCTATCTGATTTACCAAGAACTATTCTCATTTGCAGAAACACCATTCTTAAACTAAAACTTTGCTACCTGGATCCAGATGACGTTCCTACCTGATTCCCTCCACTTTTTGGATTGACGAAAACCAGCAGTGGTTTCATGAGTGGAGAGGAGATAGGCTTTATCACAAATGGCCGACCTTTGCTGTCCTGAGAAATAGAAGCAAGAGACAGCTTTAGTACAAGCTATGTATGTTTCCCTGGCATAATATGTGCAGCAGACCCAACCTAGCTCTGACAAAACTACCTCAGGTACTGGAAATAGTACAGCCATGTTAATGTGGTGCTCAGCTGGGACTAATTTATCCAGCTGAGACAATTGAGTAAGAAGGGGAGGGGGGAAGGGGGGGTCAAAAACACTTCAGGACAGCACAAAACTATTTTAAAACTTTACTCAATGTTATTTGCAAAAAAAAAATTATTCACACAGCGCTAATAATGTGTCTGATAAAGTGCTATTTCTAACACACACAATTTTCCAGTGGGAAATAGAATGAGATAAACTACCTATTTCATTAATTCCATTTAAGAGACAAGTTGTATCTGCACTTAGTTGCAGGTGATTTGCTCTTGAATTCTTGGCCTTGCTGGCCCTCCCACCTTTGAACTAATGTCACAGGTCAACCATGACATGTCAATGAGGAAGCTATTTGCCTCCCTACTCCCTACACCTGCAAGACACCAGAGAGCCCAGTAGTGAGGGCACTCTCCTGGTCTGTGGTAGGCAGAGATACAAGTTTCTGATCTGCAGTTCTCCCACCACCCAAGTGAGGACCTTAACCAGAGAGCTCTGGCTATGCAGAGCTGAATCTCCCTCCACCTTTCCCTATGAGGCTGTTGTTCATCTACGTAATTTATCCACTAGGCAGGGTCTGGAAACAAGCTGCTTCTAGCTTCTTCTATAAACTATGTGATAAACCAAATGATCAGATCATTCCCCTTTTCTCTCTCTCTCTCTCTCTGTGGCCCAATGTCAATTTTCACGCAAGCAGAATATTTCCAATGTAAGACTCCTGAAAGAGATACCTTCAAATAGGACCATACCCTTGTGTCAGTGCACTCGCCATGGATTTCACCAACCCAGTTTCATACCCCTGCTCTGCCTAGTGAAAACCAAGGGTTCCTGAGTCTCTTACATCCCAAGGGAATGCTGTTTCATTAGGCTGCTGGTCCTTTTGGAGTCTGGTACGTTGTTTCTTGAAAAATCAACTCGGCAAATAGGAAACTTCTCATACAATTTTTATCAAAACTCATCTCTTCCCACAATAAATTCAATTATGTGAAATTTTTCAGTGAAAAAAAATAAAGTTCAATTTTTTACTGCATTTCTTAAAAGTCTGCATTTAGACATTTAAACAAAAGGAGCCTGATTTCCAAAGCACTTGAATACCTACGTCATTGCCTCTTTTGCTGGCTTTTCTTTTAAAAGACGTTCTCTTCTTCCGCCGTGTTGAAGTCTTTAATGAGTTCTACATCAAAAGAAAAAAGAATACATGAAAAGCAAAACAAAATTTAGAAGACAGGCCCAGACAGAGCCCCTTTACGAAGCTCTTCCATGCATGTCCACTTCGAGAATGATAAGAGTATCTGGCACATGCTCGAGATTTAAGTTACATGCGCTGCATGCTTTACACTTCCACACCACCGTTATGGAGAAAGCCACACACGGAGACCAGACTGGTGCTTTGGAACTGGAAAGTTTCCCACGCTGTGAGGGGGGAAAAAGATCAGATGCTCCCATAGACTCACATAACACCACACGTTGTACCTGCCAACCCTCCCAATAGGGGTAGGAGACGCCCGTTTCCCCTTCGGGGCTCCAGTCTCCTGCCCAATCAGGCTCGTCTCCTGGTATGGAGACCACCTGCATAAAGATGTAATAAAAAACATGATAAATGAGATATTTTTCATGTTTTTTGGTAGGTTTTTGTTTTTTTTTTTTTTTTTTTTAGGAAAGAAAACAACAAGTTTTAGCTCTGGCAACCATTATGACTCGACATAACAAAGGCCACCATGGTGTATGATGCTGGCACTGTGGAGTCAGTTCCAGCCTGTCAAGAAACTTGTGTAATCATCTGCTAAGGAACAAACTGAATTGTTAACATTTAAGGATTTGGGTGAGGGGGTCGTGTTTGTGGGGTTTTTGTTTGCTTCTTTTTTAAATAACAGTATCCCTTAACTGCATGATTAAAAAAAAAAAAAACACAAAACTGCTTGTATTTTTGCAAAACCTATTATAATAGAATATTATAGTGATACTGAACCACAAAGGTGTTCTGATGTGATACAAACAGTCCAAAAAGGGGAATTTTATTTCCTTTTTTAAATTATTTTAATTCAGTAACCAAAGTCATACCTTCAGGAAACCCTAGTCCTTTCCATAGAACTGAGATTTTTTATTATAGGAAATACTGTAAATACTTTCTCAGTATTTCAATTCTTAGTCTAGCTGTCACCAGGAAATAAATTAACACAGGGAATTAGAAGAAAGTTTATTGATTTTCTTCTGGCTTCAAGACGGGAGCAAGATCCACTCAGCTCATCCAAAAGTTTGTTTGTCCTGATCTTATTCAAAAGTATACCACTAATGGAAAAAGTCAATGACCAGAAATCATCAAATCTGTAAGCAGTAATGTCTGTCCTTAATCCTCCTTTCTAACCAACATTAACAAGAACACCTACTAGACTGTTTAATGTCGAACAACCACTTCCAGAATTTCAAGACTTCAGTACCACACACTGCATATGGAAGTTAATGTTTCCACATCTCTAAGTAGTTAAGAAAAATAACACCTAATCCAAACACCTAAAGACACTGTCCTTTTTCACTCAGACCAGGAGAAGCCTGCTGTAGAGCACAAGATCCCAAGTTTTTTGTCACCTCTCAACACTCCTCGTGGACCAGGATGTAGTTACGCGTTTTTGCTTACTGAGAATACTGAAGACGAGATGGCTCTGCAGAGCAATGGCAGGACATTTGCCCTTTCAGTCCATATTTTGAGAAACCATCTAAAGAAGCTTTTGTACTCTTCCCTACTCTGATACAAAGGGATCTTGAAAGCATGATAAGCCACAAAGACTGCACTGACTACAGAAGTGCATCGGCAACATCGTCTGCATCATCTTTCATTGCCTTACCTCAGTAGTCAGGCTGACTGCAGGCAAAAGTCTTTATGTCAATATAAAGGTACAGGACGTTACTGTCAAAGCTACCTCCCATGGGGGCCTTAGCCCAGTTCTTCAGCCCTTCTCTGCTGAAGGATTCTCCCTGGAGTGGGGCAAAACACATGACAGAGGAGATCGAGTCTATCTGCAGTCTTGCCAGTGGTCTGCTGACAGCTTAAGGGCATATCAAGCCTTTTCCTTGTGCTTCTGTACATCCAGATGTAAAATTCAAAATACTTATCCTATTGGTAAAGTGCAGTGAATTCTGCTGGCAAATTGTAGTTTGTAACTCAAGTTAGGTATTATACTAGGCAAGTACTTAACTGTAACTCTGGAAGAAGAGCCATATTTTTTATTCTACCTCCACAATGGATGGACCTAAGCCCGGTGAAATTCTTCTGGAAAGGGCAAAGACAGTTCAGTAAAATCCTGACTAATTTAGAAAATAAAATTAATGTTTAAAAGTAGTTGTCATTAAATCCCGCTATAACATATCTCTTTTCTTGCCTATAGGTGGGGTGGGAAGAGTCATACAACTATATTAGACAGAAACAGTTTTAGTCTAAGCCTCCATTCATTAATATTTTTCATGTCCACACTCAAAAAGGCAATAAAATATGCTACATCACAACTATGTTATTTCACTTTTTTTTTAAGCATGCCTACACCTATAGTGTTAAGAGAACCTAAAGCTTTGCTATGATGATTGCAACTGCATATCATAGCAGACGAAAGGCAGAAAAGCTGATTAAGCATATGCAGGTTCTCTTTGCAAACATGCAGAAGAATAACAGCCAAGAGTAATCATCAGCCTTTGCACATTAACCTGAAGAAATGGATGCATACTACCTTGTCCACATAACAAGGTGATGAGTATTTTATAAACATTATTCAGTGAAGTACCTGATAGCAAAGCGTACCTGTAAATGGGCACCATATGGAAATCCTAATTTGTCTCTAGAGAGGAAACCTCTCCTTTGTGGGTGTCAGTTTGGCCATCTTAAAGAGAGATGTTTGGTATTATTGCATGGTCACTATAGTTCTAAGCAAGCTCAGCTAGATGAACAGATGAATTTGAATCTTTCTGGCATGGTGTTGGGTGGTGTGAGGGCCACAGACTCTCTTAAGCAAATACAATGGTCCCTTTCAACCTTTTCCTTTACAACATTTCAGCCTTCATTTTAAAAGGCTTTTAGCATGCTGGGCTGCAAACAAATAATGAACAGCCTCTGGGAAGGTCACTCTTGACCATCTTCTGGTTGTTCACAAAGCACAATCAGACAAGTCAGCTGTAGTCAGCAACTGAGGAAATAAAGAAATAAGTCCAGAAGTATAAATATTCACTAGCACGTTTTCGAGGTCCTCAAAGGAGGAGGAGAAGACTAAAACACCATGTTCACTCACCTTGAATAGGGGAAAAAAAAAAAAAAAAAAAAAAAGACTTTTACAGTTACTTTGCCTTCCCAAACAGAAGATAGACTAAATGTAAGTAAGTGCATCAGCCAGACCCTCCTTATTATCTACTTTTCTCTGACAATGTCAGCATAGCAAGTCTATTCCTAGAGCTAACATCACTCAGGCTACCAAACCTCACCTTTACCAATTGCCACCAGTCAACAGGGGTGACCTGCTTTCACAAACTAGGAAATGGAATTGATTTGAACCCAAGGAAATTAGAGCTGCTATCAAAGTGCTGCTAACACAATACAGAAACACTAGAAATCAGTAAAGAAGTTACGAATAACATGGAATGAGTACTGGGAGTTTTCCATTCACGTAAGTGGGTCATTACTTACAGGGCTGCCACCGATCCCAAAACTATTTGAATCATTCTGAATATTCCTCATCTTGCAATCCATTGCTTGCAAGAAGTGAAAGCTCCTCATTTATAACGTACATTGTCAGAAATTTCTCCTTAACCAGTTACAGCACGATGTTTCACTACTACAATGTTGCTGGTAATCAGAGGGGGAGTGTGCTCTTTATTCAAGCCCAGTATTTGAAAGGTGGTGACCCACACTGTACAAAATAAGCATGGAAAACCGTTTTTGTAGCAATAAAAAGAGAAATAAAAATTAAAAATGAGGGCAAGGTTTTGCTACAAAACACCATCTTATTTACTTAAAAGAAACAACCAACAAACACGATGAAGGTATCACTAAAATCAATTTTGTATGAGTAGGGAATTCAGTTCAGGAGTTGCCTGTGACTAATGTGAGTAGTTAATTAGAGCTGAGGAAATAATTTCTGACAAAAAGGCTTCTAGCCAAATTTATTGATTGTGGAATATGTGAAAAACAGATTGCTGGCTACACATTTATTTACTATCTGAATTTATGAAAATTTGTGAATACTGTGTTTGTATTCTGTGGATTGAATGCAGTGAATATTTCATAGTGTTTACCAAACATGCATATAGGGTGAAGAGGGTCATAATACACACAAGTAGAGCTGGCCAGAAACAGCAGGAGGGGAGAAAATATTTAAAAAAAACAAAACCAACCAAACAAAAAACACAGCTTCTGCCAAAAAAATGAACACACATCTGAAAGATGCGTCATTATTTTCTACGGCAATAAGGATGTATTCCCCAGAACTAACACCGCAATGGGTGCTGTTAAGAAGCTTCATGGAAATATGCCCATTGTCTGTGCTAAGTATCACTTTGATCTATCTAACGCTTCAATTACTCAAGATAAGTCTTTTGCATGTCACTGACCTCAAATTTCAAGGACTTGAGATGTGATAGAGGGGGAATATTGGATTGAAGTACTTCCTCTCCACTCAAAGAAAATGTTAGCTTTGTGTGCCTGAGTTAAGTGTAACCTTTTAAACCTTTAAAAGCATTTTTCCTATGAATTGTAATTAACTAGGTCAGATTTGTTTTTTTATTTGACCTTTTCTGAAAAAATAATGGACAAAAAAGAAAATTCTCCAAAAATATTATAAAGGAATGTAGCCTGCTTTGACCAAATGCCAAATCAAAAGAAAATTAGTGTCAATTGTTTTTTTTACTAAAAATTAAATGAGAAATAAGAAGGCCAAAGAAAGGCTTCTTTTAATGAGGTTAGAGATGGATACATCTATCTTATTAATTTATATTTTTATTAAAAGGGGGGGGGGGGGTGTTACTATTCTTTTCCTGACTTTGGCTAAAAGAATGGTGACTGCAGTGTATTCCCGGCTCACAGAAAGGGGTTTTTGTAAGACATAAAATGAGATAACAAATTCAATAATCTTTCTCTTTTTTTTTTTTTTGCAAGAAAATACAGTGAAAATCATATGAAAGGGTTTTCCTTTGTTTGGGGGTTAAAGGGGGGGTGTTGGCTTTGTTTTTGTTTTGTTTTTTTAAATGGTGATTTAAAACTATTCAAAAGATACATAAATTGGAAATGTGTTGAGTGAAAAAATATTTTATTTCCTTATCAGACCTAAGAAGAGGGTAGCACCTCTGGCCATAGGAAGCTGGTTCTCAGACCAGTTATCTGCTTTCTCCCATGTGTATGGGGTTAGCTATAGTTAAATGGTTAGGGAACAAGATGCCTAAGGACCCTGGCAATACCCAGTTTCCAGGTCTGGACTGCAACAGTTAGGAATTCCTTTCTAGTCATTCCCAGCCCAAGGAGCTCTACCTCATGGATCCATCTCCAGACCATGAACCCTTAAAGTCACCATTTCTTTGGCTAGTGCCCAAAGCAGAGATTGCAGGCAGTCTGCTGTGAAGCCCAGTGACCAAAAAACTTAAGACTATGGGCCATACGGTCTCTACAAGGACACAGAAAAGGACACAGCCTTGGTTTTGTGCCAAATACCACCGAGGTGCTGAAAATTAACCAAAGAAATTAAGTCCCTGTCAATGACTCAGATTCTTCAACAAGAAAGGAAAAAAGATTTCTCTTGAGGAGGCTGGAGTAAAACTAACAGAGAAAGAAGAGTGTGGGGAAAAAATATAAATGCTAAAGAGACCTTTTCTGTTAGAGTAGAGACACTATTTATTTCAGAAAAAAAAAACAAACCACCTTGTTTCAGTGCTTCTGAAATTAAACTGTTACCAACATTTATGGCTCCCTGATATGCTCAGTGTTTGTAGTCCCTTTCTTTCAGTTCAACCTGGAGTGAAAACAGACTTTCAAAGAAAAAAAAAAGTACTTCTTGCATGATGGGAATCCCCTTTTAATTTCTGGCCAGCTCTCTTTTAGATACCTTTTCTCCCTATTGTGTTCACCAGTGAATTATCCTCTCCAAGACATATCACATCCATTATAAAAATCTTTAAAATCTAATGCTTGTTACCTGCAACTAAATGAGCACATAGGCTTACTGCTGACATTCACCAAGCACTGATGTAAATAAGACATGATTGTTTAAATGCCCCTTGATGGCAAATTCAGAGGGATGCCAGTCCAGCCATAGGCAATTCTTACTGCAGTTCAAATGAACGTTTGTGAACAGTTTTCCCCTGTATTTGCTCAGCTCTATTTAATGAGACATGCTTGGCCACCTACAGCACAGGGGATTTCTTGCAGTATGCTCACTGAACTCACAGTTACGGGAACAAATCTGAGCTGGATTTGCTCAGAATAAAAGTCGTATTTCTTGTTATTCATCCCAAACAGGGAAACCTACTACTGAAGGGCTGCATGGAGGGGCAGGAAGATACAGGTTCATAATCACCATGGAGGTATGCTGGGTTTCAGGAATAGAGACAGGATTGAACAAGCATGCCTTAGTGGAGTACCACCGAGCGGCGAAGCCAGGCTGGCCCTGTGCAGCCATACAGCTTCAGAAACAGACATCAGCATGCAGTTACCTGAGGTTTCTTCACCTTAATGATCCAAGTGGGAGGCACAATGACAGCAGCGTGAGCCCCCAGGGAACATGGCTCCTCAATGTGATGTAGCATGAAACAGGTGACTTTGTTATGAAACTGGAAGAGTGGAAAAGAGTAGAGTCAATAAGAAGGCCAAGAAAGACAAAGGGGAAGCATGGAGAGGAAGAGGAGGGTCATGGTACAAAAACAGGAACAATGTTCTCAAGTCCACCATCTTCAAGTTTTTTAAATCATGGAATTTTAGGAACATATAACTAAAGATCATCTTCCCTTAGCCATGTTTTTTTAAAAAAATAAAAAATAAAAAACAAACAATCAAACCAATCCTACTTAAACACAGATAGAAGACCACAAACTAGTTCGATGCAGCCATATGTATTAAGAGCCCTTTGGCTGTCTGAGCTAGCAGTGGCAGGGCATTGATGGGAGGTAGCCAGCCAGCAACTACATTGTGCAGCAAGACTCTTCCAGAAGACTCATATCAGCCAGGTGAAGTTATGGTGTCTTTGAGCAAAAGGAAAAGAAATGGCAAAACTGGGGGTGATTCACAGAGAGGGAACCCTGAGACCCAGGAAAAAAGAAACAGCTTGCAGTGCAGCCACTCAGTGAAGCTGAGACTGGTCTCCCCAAATATTGTTCACTTACCGCCAGCTTGCACCAGGAACAACTGATGGCCACGATCTCTTTACTATGGAAGGAGAATTTCTGCTGAAAGCCCTAGAATAAGCAGGAGAAAAGGATTCAATTCCTTCTGACCACAAGAAATTTACACCTTTAACTCTTGCCAGGTGACTGTGCTAAGCTAAATCAGTTCATTGCAGTCAGATACATTGGATCAGCCTCAACGCCCTTAGATGCCAAACAGATTTTTGTGGGATAAAATGAAGGTTCTTCAACTGGGGAATTTTCACACACACTTTTAAAAACACTTCTCCAAAATTTAATGCTTTTTCTTAGATTTTGTAGTTAAAAACAACAGAAGAAAGAGAAGGAATGCCTGTTTTAATTGATTGCTACAGACCAGACAGATTCAGATTTTCTGTTGAACAAAGCATTCTCGCATTGCAGACTTGTTTGCCCTAAATATAAACAAGAATTTGAATTTTCCTCTTTTTTTTTTTTTTTTAATACAGAGTGGAATCAACTAAAATGTCTGTGTGGAAATGTTCCGATTGGGAAATTAAGTTTATTGTTTTATTGAGCTGACTCAGATCAAAACCTTTTTAGTAAGTTCCAAAGAAACAACTTGGTCTTGTTGAGATCAAACAGATAAATGAAAATATTTCTTTGTAGTTTAAAGAGAAAAAGCCACCACCATTACCAGCAAATATGAGATTTTATTCTCCCACAGAAGAGTCTCATTTTGAAGAATGCAATTTCAGAAGACATATCACTTTGCTTTAAATTCTAAGGCTGGAAAAGACCATTGGGTCATCCACACCCTTCTTGCATGTAACACAGGCAACAAACGGTAAGTTACAGCCTAAAAATTTGTGTGCAGTTACAGCTTAAAATTTTGTGTGCAGTTACAGCTTATTTTAGCCAGAGAAAGAACAGATATGGGTTGATGGCTGTAGAGATGGAAAGTCCAAAAGTTCATTGAACAGTTTGTCATAGTCATCTTCACCACTTAGATTTCAGATTTGCAGTCATCTGGATCTTTTATTTATTTTATTAATCTTTTATTAAAAAAGGTTTTATTCCTCTTTTTATTCATCTGGATCCTTTATTCTAGCCTCTCTACTACATTAAGTAGCCCATCACCACCCAAAATTTTCTAATTCAGTCTCTCTATCAAGTCACGAATTTGTGAGGCAGGATTTCTTTCCAACAAGCTGAGTTTTACCTAAATCTCCTACATGCTGGGCAATGCGCAAGACCCAGTGCAAAGAGTTACAATTTGCCTTCGTAACATCTAAGAGAACATTGCCTCACTGCTTCTAGAATTAAGGTCCTTCTTATCCTAGCTGCAATGGAAAGGAACAGGAAGATGGACATCTGCAGGAAGAGTGAGCCTATTAGTGTTCAATGAAATGACAATGTCAAGCACACCAAGGAGAATTAAACAAACCACCAAAAACTCATCCAGAGCTGCACTGGTCTTGTTCAAGTGAGGGACTGAGCTACAATCTGTCCATACATGGTAGCTGGGGACAGTCCTATCAATACTCTGAAGAGGAGGAGGCTCACCCTGCCTGCCTGCCATGCAGAAGTGCACATTGCAGATACTTCTTCAGGTGTCCCCAGCATGTACCAGCTTGCCCGATGGACCACAGCACCAGCTAAGGCCTATTCCTAAAGAGGTTTGTGTCACCTCCGCTAGATTTTTTTTTTTTTTTTAATCCTTCCCCTAATGCCTCAGGTTTTACATTCAACGAAATTCAAAGAGTATATTCTTCATAATGATGGTGATTTGACGTATTCAGGTTTAGTAATGGAACGTGGTCAAATGGCTTCACAAAGACAAGCCGGCCAGCTGCTGCTGGCCAGGCAGATCTAGTCTGCCATTCAGTGCGGGCACAAGAACAACCAGACTGACAGTATGTACGGCAAGTGCTGGAACAGAGGTCTGACACTGGACAAAATTCCTTATTCTCATTCACTTAGACTGGTGCTTCTCAATGTTTCTCACAAATCTTACTCTTCCTTGTCCCAAAGTATATGAAAAAATTTATTTCAGCCCCTCATGGGCATGAAGTGTTTTGTTTTGTTCTGCTTTGTAACAAGCAGGGGAGAAATTATTCTCTCCCGAAACCTCCACTAATAAAACCTAAAATTCAGTACATTAATTCCACAGCCCAGCAGCGGTGTATTTTAAACATATGGACTGAGCAGCTTGTCTGGTTCTGGATGGGCCGTTTTTCATTTATTCAGTAAGCCATTTGGCTTTTAGGGAGTCATTAGAGAAAATGATACAGCAATAAAAACATATTAATGATAAGTAGCAATAAACCACCACTTTTCCTCAAATTGCTTTAGAAATATGAGCTAATTCTTCACAAGGATATGTGTTTGAGGTAAGATAGCAATTATTTGAAAGCTAGCTTTACAAATAAAGGAACCGATGAAATAAAGTGATACACTGTAGGTCTCAGTAAGATTTGATGGGGACTATGGGGGACTGCAGTGTTTCAACCCAATATTCCACCACAAAATCATCTCTTCTGCCTTTTCCCAATAAGAAGGAAAAATAAAATTCAGCTATCTTGTTCCTGGGTTATGCAAGGAAGTCTTCTACACAAATTTAGAAATTTTGGGATAGAAAATTAATTTCACCTTTGTGAGAATATTAGCCTAGCAGTACTCGATCAGCCCCGAGTCACTGGCACCTGATTCCTGTACAACACATAAAATCCCATGCTGTGAGATGGTCCTGCAGAAATAAACAGTTGTGCATACCAGAGGAAATATATTTGGAGGAAAAGAGCACCTGAATCCCCAGCTTGTGGTGGTGATTACAATCCATCTAAATCATTGGGATCAAAGACCACATTAATACAGACACCCATGCACACAGAGCACAGAGGGGTTACTAGCTCCAACATACTTTGGTTATATTCTCAAATGTATTTATCATTAAAGAGTGTTTTCACATCAATGTTAGGGCTACTAATAATTTATTTTTGCACGGATTTTCCCATCACGTTTATTCTCTTTTTAATGCTCTCAGAGATATTCCAATGCAACATTACTCAACTCAAATACAGATAGCAACAGAAGCACTTGGATGGTGATCTCTGCAAAAACAACAAAGAACTACAATTGCTTTTCAACTACTAGCAATTTCAATCCTGCCATTACATGCAGGGAAAAACAGACAGCTCTGCATCCATCCACAGGCCTTTAAAGAGACTGCTAACAGAAAGAGATTGGCACCGTAGCTGCACACTTGTGTGTATAGTGGACAGACTGCTTTGAACACCACAGAAAGTATAAAGAAATAAAGTGCCTGTTTAGCATGATGGTCCAGATGCATTCCTAGTCTCATAAAATCCCTAAGCCACTGGTAACTGGATGTATACGAAGAAAAGATTACTCTGCATTCATCTTTAAGTTTCTATTACTGCACAGAGTCATGGACTGGATGCCAGGCCACATGGTCTGAACATTCTTATGTTGTATTATGTAAAGAAAAAAAAACATATATCCCAATTTCTCTGATGATCCCAGGTAACAAACAGCTAATAACAGCTAAAAGCCACAAAATGCTCTTTTTTCCCCCCACTTGCAAGAGAAAGAAATGAGTTCTTAAACATCATGAACGGTGTAGAGAATGCGGTTTGAGAGCATGTATTTACCATCACTTCCAACACAGAGCTATGGAGCATTAGGAAAAACTCCTAAGTGACAAATCTGAAACAATCAAGATGTGGTTCTTCTCACAATGTGTAGTTAAGTTTGGGAATTCCTTGCTAAAGAATGTTGTAAATACTACAACTTTACGGGAACTCAAGGAGAGAATAGACAAGACCACAGGAGATAAAGTTATCATAGGCTGTTAAATATAAAGGTACCATTCTGGAAATTCATGAGACACAAATTCTTAGAGGCCAGGAGACTGTTCTGGAGATGCATCACTAAACACGTGCTCCATCTTCTACTTTTCCATAATAAGCTGCCATTAAACCCTGGGCTCAATGTTACTCTATCTACTCATCCTTCTATTACAGTCTCCAGTTCCAAGAGAAAAGGGGAATTGTCACAGCAAGTAGACAGAAATAGAACATTTGGCTCCAGTGCCCTCAGTAAGATTATGAACAAGACTTTCCAGGCCCCCTTCCCTATTTTGCCTATAGTACTTTTGTGGTAGAGCAGTGAAATCGCACCGGCGAGGGAGAAGAAAACTGAAGCCCAGATGAGACCTGGGCAGACCATATGTGCGCTAGCGAGTGACGTGTAACAGCGGGAGCACAGGCTCTGTTGGGGCTGTGGACCCTATACACAAAGATTTTCAGAGAATTTTATTTTTGACTAGCTGTAGTCTGGCCCTGTGGACTGAATGCCCATTAGTAGGTGCAGAGTTAACTTTCAATTAAGTTTAATCTAAAAGGAATCCAGTTCATTTACTGCAAGACTGTCCCGACTAGTCCTGTGACGACAGTCAGGAAAATTCCTTCCAAACTGCACTTCTGATCTAAGGCGAAACGTGGCCATAGACGCCTCTGTTCTCCACCTCTCAGGAAGTGTCAGCCATGGCACAGAAGGCACACAAAATATAAAACCACAAAGCCATGCTAAGGATGTTGGGGAGCATTAAGTCCTTTCTACTGGCTTATGAGTTGAAGTATGAGATCAGTATATCCTAAGTGTTCATTTCTATTTTCTTTACCTGAACTATTATTAATGTTCATTAACATATTTAAGTATCCAGTTCCAGCCATGGGATAGGACTAATACTATACAACGAGACCTACCAGAATCATTAGGTATTCCATGAATAACACTTTCTTTTATTGCTTTAAATTTACTGCCATTCCATTTCAACAACAGCTCCATTTTTCTTGCATGACAAGAGAATAGAAAAGAATGCTCTTACTTGGAGACACAAGAAATGTAACAGCAGAGCACAAGACAGACAAATGTTTTGCTGTAATAGCAGACTGCTTGGCCAATAAATATAACAGGATTTTTTTTTCTTGTTGTTGTTTTCCTTAATCCTTTCTTTTTCTGTAGAAAAAGGGACTCTCTTACAATATGTCCATGTTAGTCTTAACTGAATATGTCTTATTTGAGGGGAAAACTGTGATTTCCTCTGAACTTCTCCATATCAGTCAGGGCTGATAGGAATTTTAGGATAGACTGGTCACGCTGCCCATGTGAATGCGCCCAGCACAGGTTTTGGTATGATAGGCAGTAAGTACTCTCATAGAAGAATGAACTCCTAATGCCTCTAGAGGAGATCCAGGCCAGAATGGCAAAAGAAAAAGGCAGTATCACTGCAAAGTCATACCATAAGAATGCTACATGCAAAGTGCCTTGATGCACTGTTGACATGTTACTTTTGGCACGGAGGGCAGCACTACAAGAACACCGTATTGGCACAGAGTTGGTTTAATGAAGAAAGAAGCTCAAGAAGCCACAGTCTTCCTCCTCCTCATTTTCAGCAGCCAGTGCAGAGCAATGTGCCAGGACACACGTTGTGCTCATTCCTGCAGACACAGCTGCCTTTTCTCTTCCCACATGTGAATCAGGGCTGCTACCGCTCAACGTATCAGGCTTGTCATCTTCTGCTTAAGAGAGGCCAAGTGTTTAGAATAGAAACCTCAGTGACTTGAAGGGCCTACTGGCTGCTCTGAATTCATAAGTGCCCAGTGTTGTGCTTGTGCTTCTCTCAAAATCTTACCTTTCCACACTGCTTACATTTCCCCTCCTGCCTCCGCCTGTGCACCCAGTGGTGTCGGACAAAGTTCTGCAAAAGGAGGGCAAAAAAAAAAAAAAGTTATAGGAAGCAATGGCAGCTTGCACTCACAGGTACCATCTGTGTGAAATTGGTTTACAGACACCAAAGGACCAAAGGAAAGGTCCCTTCAGCCAGTGCAATAATTTTTGGAGCAAAATGCAGCAGTCCCCATGGAAGCCTCAGACACCACCAAAACTGCAGGAGGAAAAAGAACGAGGTGGTGTTCTTTATCCATGTTGAAAAGTGTCCAGAACTACTCTCTCGGCACTCTTCTACAAAAAGAAGAAAGTTCGGTACATGATGCAGAGACAATCATGACCTAAACGCGAAGCGCGGGAGTGCCCCAGCGCTGCCGCACCCAGCCACCATGCAGGGCCCTGTTCTGCTGGGAAACGCAGCCTCATAATGCAAAAAAACCACAAGTCGACGCAGGAGAAGGGAAGGAAGGACCAGTCGTTGAAGCAGTCATTTCCCCTTGTTTGGGCTACTTACACCCTGGGTAGCAGCAAGAGACGGGAGGGTGAACAGGGCTGCTGGCCCTGCTTCTGTGCAGGGCTGGAAGGGGTCTGCCCGTGCCACGCTGTCACGCCAGCCAACATTGAACCGTCCGTGCGGCGGGGAATTGGGCTACCTCTGCTAAGAGAAAGCTGGCCACCAAATCAACTATAAAAGTTAAGAGGTGTTTTTGAAACACTGGCTTCTAACTATGTAGGACAGATATATAAACATATTAATAACAATAAATATCCAGCACCTTCAGAGGAGCTGAATTCATACAGTAGTTGGAAGCAAATCACAAGGTTTTTGAATGTTTGATTTTTTTACTAAAAAAAAAAAATCTTAGGACATTAGCTAAAGATGCTTCTAGGGGGGAAAAAAAAAAGGAGAGGCAAGTGGAAGGAGAGGGAAAAAGAAAACAAATCAAAAAAATACTAGTTCAAAGGTCAGGAAGAAAAAAATAAATGCTACCAAAGAAAATAGCTGCATGAATGGGGAGGGAGACAACAGAAAGATGAGATGGTTTCTGTCAGTTTAAGTAATGGAGTGCTTCAGCTAGAATTCATTTTATATTTATTTTGGGGAGGAGAACATGTCCCACTGGGAACCAATACTCTGCCTAAGACTCCTCTGAATATAAAAGCACTACCACAGCTCCACACCAGGTGGATCAGGACACAAATCAAATGAAAAGCAATCATCATTTGTCCATTACTTACTTCTCTTGGGGATCTGGAGCCTCCTTCTCGGAAAGTTGGTTTGCACCGAAAATTAATCTGGCATTAAAATAAAGCTGTTAGAATTGAAAGTCAGCTGAGAAAGAATTTATTCCTATACATTGATCCAGGCCAGACTCCCCAAATATTTATTATCTATTAAAATATTAGCTTCATTAGCTGAACAAAGTAACTTACCAGGATGACAGAAAAATCTCATTTCATGTGCCATAATAATTCTCCTTGCTAAATCTCTACACAGCCCTTGTCCTCACTAATGCTATTGCTGCCTGCTCAGTTCAACTATTTAAACTGTATCCCCTTGCCTAGAAGAAAACCACTCCATCTGTTTCTTTCTGAAGAAGATCATTTGCAACTAAAATAGATCTAAACTGAGGTCTCAAAAGTTAATAGGAGCTGGAAATTTAACCTTTTTGGTTAAATAAGACCTTTTTGCACATCCCAGCTTTATGACTTCATAAGCAAAATCTGTGGAGAAATCTTCATTCACATGAAGAACTGTGCAAATTACCCTAAATTTCTACCTTGTGCTTAGATCAGGCTGCTTTTATTCACCTCCCCCAACCACAAACTATTTGGGAACCATTGCACTGCCTCATGCATACTTTTGTTATGAAGGTTGAAGGATCAAGTTTCCCAAATTTAAATACAGCCCTTCCCATATAAATAAGTTCTTCCCTCACTTAATAATGGCCTTCGAAAGAATAGTTCAAGGGAGGGGAAAAAAAACAATAAAAACCCAAAAAAAGTAGTAAAAAAATACTTATTAATTAAGAATAAATGAAATTCATAGCACTATTA